ACAAAACCAAAACCTCAGTGAAGAAGCAGTTTGAACCACAAGTTTCTGAACCAAATGTCTAAACATCTCTATCCATATTTGGATGTCCAGGATGGAGGACAGATTTTCTTTCTCCCCAGTAGTGCTGAGCTTTCATCAGCTATTGTTCCCAGTCTGCAGAAGCTGGCACCACCCAGGAATGTGTGGGGGTGACACAGTCCTGAAGTGAGTAAGCCAAGGAGAGGCACAATGCCAAACTCATATGCCGAGTTGCACGCTGGCTGCACAGCCTGGTGCTAACTGGGCAAGGAAAGAAAGGAAGGATGCAGCATCTTTCACCCTTCCCTTGTCCTAGTAAATCTGCATTCACACAATGCTGCATTTCCTGTTTCCTGCCTTTCATCTTCTGCCCCACTGAAAGGTAAAGTTGAGAAATGTAGAAGATACTGAGTTGTGTTTTCTCCCTTCCCACACCCTTAGGATATTGCCCTAGTCAAGGTATCAGTGTACAGTGTCTTGGGAATGTTATACCAAGATCTCTTGCCCATAATGTCCTCAGGGGTTATGTTTGATGGGGAGTACAACCTGCTTGAAGGCAGCAATCAAGACAGCAGGGTGATGTTGCTTGAGTTATTCCCCAATTTCTGTATGCATTTGAATAACCTTTATAAACACCAGAAGTATATGTACAGAATGATGCATGTCTATGTACAAGTTGTCCTTGAGGGGTTAGTAATTCTTGTTGATTTAGCTAATGAGCAGCAAACCAAACACAAAAAATCAAGATATTTACATAGCAGCACTGGTCTTTTACAGACTTGAATCATTGATTTCCTTAGGCCTTAGTATCTTTAGCTAAGTATTCAATCCTGTACCTCTCACATGAATAATCTTTATAACTGTGAGTAGTCCTCATGAAGCTGATCAAATCCACACTGAACAATTATGACTGAGGAAAATTTACTCTTGCAAGGGGGGGCCTGCAAGCCTGAGATTGTAGAGAGTATATTGGAAAACAGACAGATAACTAGTTCAGCCATTTGGACTGCACGTGGATCCCAAGCTGTGCTTTGGCTCTTATACTTAAAAACCCAAGATGTGATAGCTTTAGAGGCTTTTGATAAGCTTTAGCCATAGAATCTTAAACAAAACAAAAAGCTTTGCTTTTGCTTTTAAAAACTCTAGTATGTATTTCACTGCTATTCCAAGCAGGGTTTTTTTGTTGTTTTTTTTTTTTTTTTTCCAAAAAAACACATCATAAAGTATTTTTTATTAGGAAATGCTACTGGCAAGGTAACAAGAATCAGCTTGGTACCTGCAGTTTTAGACAGGATTCAGTGACCCAGGAAGCCCCTTGTGTTTAGCAAATTGCAGCAGTATTAGCTAACAAATATGTAAAGTATTCTGGGTAGGGCTGGCAGAGGAACTTAAGGGGAATTCTTATCAGTGAGACTTGGACAAAGACATTTTTAGGGCCTCTTGTGAAAGAGAAGGTTGTACTTACACAAAGTTGAGAGCTGTTGCACCCAGTACTCCTTAGTGATTCAATCAGTAGATAATTGCTTACACAATTAAATGGCACTTCAGTTGCGTTTGCTTGACCTGTTTCCTGTGACTCTAACAGACCAAAAAATCTTTCAGGGCCCAGTGTTTTATCCCCAGCAGATATTCATATGCCCTGTTCAAGTCCCCTGTTTTCTCTGGTGCCTCTGCAGTCTCACAACCAAGTGTCCCACTCAGCGTTTTTGTCACTAGTTTGTCCACTGTTTCAGCTATGTTTTGAAAACATAGGCAGTACATGTCCTGCTGTCCTGCTGTCAACCTTCCAGTGCTGTATGTAGAAAGCAGATCATCTGGCAACTATCCCTTGGTGCATCAAAAATCTTTCCTGGCTGAAGGCTTTGTATTGCAGCTTTTAAAGGGTTGTTAATTTTCAGCCCTTCTCTGGGATAACAAAGCCATTGGGAGTGGCTGTTTTGCACAATGCATTACATTGGGTTTTCAGCCTGGGATTTTCCAATCTCTTCACCTGTCCTTAGAGTAGGAATACAATGTATTAGTCAGTGTTTCAGCATGTGCCTGAACAGTGATTCCATGGTGGTGGCTGCTGCATTAAGGTAGCGCTCGCCTCTTGGCAGTAATAGATGGAAGTGCAGCTGCTTTATGCCTGCATACACAGGAGTAAGACTGAGCTGTCCATACAGTTCCACCAGCAGCTTCTGGCCAGGGCACTTATTGGGTCAGTCCTGTCTAGGTAAGGCTGAGGCATAGGACAGATAATTCAATTTTCCCTTCTGTCTGTCACTATGTGATAGTCTCAAATGGATTATCAGTGTGGAAACCACTATGGAAGACAAGGGAGGCCCATTCAAGGACAGTAATTGGTGCAGTCCAGTGCCCAAGAATTCAGAGTGCATTAACAGAAACCATTATGTCTGATTCCAAAGCCCAAGTAAAAGGTTATTTAGCTACTGTAAATATGATTGCTGTTATGATGAATGACAGTAAGTGGCTTTCAGTCTTGGGTTGTTAGCTGGGAAAGACAAGACTTGCTTTATCTTTTGCTGTTGTTTTCTGTGATAACAGAATAATTGTGTTTAAAACCAAATAGCAGTCCCAAGCTAATTCTTCTGCTAGATCAATGCAGATTTAAGGGAATTCTGTGCAATCCCTAGCAAAGGACTCATCAGACTGAAAGATGGGGGCATCCACACCAATCATGTCTCTCTGACAGCTTGCTTCCTGGAAGGAATATTGTCCAAAGGCTGAGCTGCAGGCTTGGAAGTGTGCCAGAAAAAGTAGCCAGGGCAGTCACTTTTCCTGTTGGTATTTCATCCCTTAATGGATGATGAGAGGAGATATCATCACCACTGATCCTTGGCAGACTATGTGGTGACAGGAAGGCTCAAGAGATCTGTGTTAAGTGATTTTTTGTTAGGCACATGTTTTTTGGAGGGTTTTTTTGGTCAGTTTCTCTTTGTAGGGCCTCTCATGTGAGGACAGAAGTCCAGTAGAAGAACAGACCAGAGTTTCATAAACAGACCTGTTTCATAAAGCAGTGCTATCTGGTAGTTTTTATCTTCCTACTCTTTTTGAACAGAACAAAGGAGAAAGGGGAGAAAGTAAGCCCTTTGAAATGAAAATATGAAGAAATTAGCACCCAGGTGGAAGGTGGTAATTGGTCTATTTCAAAAGGATCAGCAGAGTAGATCTGTGAACAAATTATTCTCCAGAAAAGCCCAAGAGATGGTGGTTCTTGCTGGGTCTGGGTCTGCTAGTGGGCCTCCTCTGGTCTGACTTTGAGCTGCCAACATGTTTCTTGTCCAGTGGTTTGTAAAGACTCCATATAGCCAAATAAAGTAAATACCAGTGTGTGCTGGGCAGTCTGAGCTTCCTGTCCACTGGCAGTGGGCCGGGTGTTAATACATTCAATAAGCTGATTTCTCACACCTGGAAACCTTGATTCTTCACTTCCCATAGCAGCTAAACTATGGCCTGCTTTGAGGGGAACGTTTCTCCACTGAGACATGTCCAAGTTACACAATTTTGTTTCTTTACAGTGGCTCTGAGAAAGGAAGTAGTGTGACTGAAACACCAGTAATCAAGAAGCATAATGGACTGCATCTCACTCTCCCAGATGCTCATGACACTGATTCTGGTAAGGAAACAGGATTTGTGCTTTCCTTTCCAAACAACTGCTTTTGTGAGAGATTAATGTTTCCTTTTCTTTGGAGAGGGTGGTGGGCCTGTGCTGGTCAGGAGGTCCAGGTCTGCCTCCATGGCCAGCTCCACTGTAGAATGTGTCACTGTGGTTTACCTGTACCTTGGCTTTCCCATGCCTCACACAGAGAGGAGTTTCTGCTTCTTTCCCAGAGCTCTCTGAGATGTATCATTCTGTCCTTTTTATTTTTTTATTCCTTCCCTCCTTCAGCCTGCCTCCTGATTTAATTCTTTTTAGATGTCCTGATCAATCCAGCTGTTATTGTTGGTTTTGGAAAGCTGAGTTAGAGTGTCAGTTCCTATTAGATGGTGATTTGCTTTGGGATTTGTGCATAAACCTTGTGATGCTTTATTTTATGGTAAACACGTATTCAGAGTAACAGATACAGTCAGATGGAAGTAACTGAGATATCAAAGCTGATTTTGGCAGTAAAGGGGAAAGGAAGCTTTAAGAGAGCGCTGCTGACTTGTGATTTTTGTCATAAATCTCGTGATACTTGGTACTTCTTTAAAACCCTAGCTCAAAATCAGATGATGTGAGAAACTTGCCTTTTAATTTGGAGGGTTTTTTAGGGAATCAAATGCCTGTGCTTGTGGATGTAGAAGAAACACTTGCAAAGAAAGCAAATCTCAAGCTCAGAAAATGGACAAGAAAAAAACTTAATACATAAATCTTGTGGATCTCTAGGGAATTACGATTTGTCTGAGTCTTAATTGTGCTATACGCCATGGTGCTGCCTGCCAGAAAGGGCAAATTAATGTAAAGTACAAGCTTTGAATCAGCTTTTCATGCATCTAAAGTGATTTGCACTGAATGCAGTTTAGTTTTAGCCAAGAAATATATTCCTCCTCCACTTTGAGAATCCAGGTTTCCATGCTAACGTGGTTGCCCCCACAATGGATGCAAGAATGGAGCTCATACTGAAATTACACCACCCACCTTAGTGTGGGGCTGGCACTGGCTGTTTCAGCAGGGCTCTGTGGCTCCTTTCTCTGCAGGCTCTGGCTGCTGCTGTTCCCCATCTGCAGGAGGGAAGCAGCTGGCTCTGCTGTGCCTGTTGGGAGCCTCTTTGAAGAGAGCAGTGAGCGAGATTGGAGGGTACAGCTCTAGCTGCTCTCAGCCTTGTGCTTCCCCAGAACTGGGGCTGTGGCTGCCTGCTTTGAAGGAGGGAGGAGGTGTGATATTTCTGCATCACTGTGGAGCAGGCAGTGCTGTCTGTTGTGCAGTCCCCCGGGAGCTTGCAGCAGCATCGCTGTGCTGCGCAGGCGCTCTGTCATCTCTGGGCTCATCACTGAAGGGTGGCAGCTCCTGTGGCCGGGTTTGACCCTGGCCTCTCCCTTGGCTAGACCACAATAAGATGATTGCTGCGCCAGAATTTTAGGTTTGCTGCCAGAAAGATTAATTCCTCTTTATTATCTTCATCTTCTCCTAACTGAAGCAGTGTTCCTAACTAAATTCATTGATATCAGTCAGCTGTCTTGCTGTTTCATTCTGTCTCTGATTTAGTCTTATCTTATAATGCTTTTGCCTGAAGTGATTTAAGCTTGGGAGTTCTGTGTTTCCTATAAACCTAGTAAATCTAATGAGCTACATTTCTGTTTTGATGGCAGTTTTCACATAAATGCAAAATATTGGTCCTTTTGGACTTAAAACACCCTAGAACAGTGCTTTAAAATTATTTAGATAGATTTTGTATGGCTTATATGCAGAACTCATCACAACAAAATGAGTTTGTTATTTCATGAGTTATTTCCAAAGTGTTTGGAGGGATTTATTGTAAAATGTGAAGTTTATATTCGGTCTAGTAGAGCTGTTAAATAGAGAAAGAGACTGCACTAAAATAACAAATTGATATGATATCTTCGTATGCCAACATTTGCATGTATTTTGAGGCATGACATTAAAGTTCTGCGAGACAGGTTTTGTGGGGAGGTTTTTTTCTCATGTTTCTTTAGGAGGAGATAGCTTAACGAGACATTCAGATAATTTTTCATAATGTTGCTTGAAGTTTTTCCATCTCCCCCCCACCACCCTGAGGTCATGGTCCTGCCAGTGTGACACATGCTGGTCTCCTCTCCCAGGAGAGGAAATACTGTGTTTGAGATAAACTCTTTTGTGGCTGCAGTAGCCATCAGCCCACCCCAAGGGGCACCTTATTGCTTGCCTGAGATTCAGAGATGTGGCTGAGCCCCTTTCAGTCCAGGAGGGCCAGACTGGCAACAATTTTCTCTTACAGAGTTTATTTGGTCAGGCAAGCTTTAAGGAGAGCTGCTGTGAGCATCCCAGCTGAGATGGGCAAGAACAGTAGTGGCAAAAGTGGAGTGTGGACTGGTTTGGAGAGACCTGATCATTTGGCATGTATGTGGCTAGAGCAAAGAGTGTATCTGTGTCTGAGGCTGAGCAGGGATGGCATGATCTCTGCCTAAAATATTTTGCTTCCTCTTGTAGGCTGGAAAAGAAAGAAAAGAAAGTAAACATCAAAGGACTGGAATACCAAGGGATGTTAAATTAAAAGATCCTCCATGTAAATTGCTAAGTAACTTGGGTCTCATTTGTCCAGCTGTGCAGATGCCCACTGCACTGGGCAGGATCAGTTTCAGTCTCACATTTCCCTCTTGGCAACTACTGGGCTAGTGAAGACAAAATGAGGAGCAGCTAACTTGGGTTTCTTTGGGAGCAACTATGCTGTTATATCCTGTGAAGTCTGCTTTGTGAGGGAAGGATGCTTTACTAGATTCTAACTGGACCTACTTAGGCAGCGTGTGAACCTCTCCAAAATGCACAGAGATGGTTTCGTTTTCTTGGATTGATTTGCAAGGAAAAGAGGATTTCCCCGAGCTCTGTGAGGATGTGAATAAGACACCAGCCTATCTGCCCACCCAGTGCAAACAGCCCAGCATTACATTTGGATGCTTGCAAGAAACACAGCTCCACGAAGCTTCTCTGGGAGAGGGCAGCCTTGGCAGAAAAATGTGGTACTGAAAGTTGCTTTCAAAACATGTTGATATAAAAATCTTGTTAAGCTGACTGCAAAATCCACAAAGTTATATGTATTTTTTCCCAGGTTTGCCAGTCTGGAAGGCAAGAAGTATGCCCTAACTTCAAAGCTGTGCTAATAACATCACTACCTATTCATGTGTCCATTTGCTTGTCTTTGCACTGCAGAGAAGCTGTCTGTGTTTTAGATGGCTAGGGATAAATGATTTGGTAGTTTTCCCTGTGTGAAACAGCTCTAGTCTGGCTTGAATTTCTGGGAGTCTCAGTGAAATTCTCACTGGTGGAGATAGGGATTAGGGCGAGGAGTGTGAATGGGCAAGGCAAGGGGGAATCTTTGCAGTGAAACAGGCTGAAGGTGGATCAGTTAAATAAACTGGTAAATACAATAAATTCTTCCTGCAAAGCTGAATGGCTTTTACCCATACCCTTAAAGCTGTGATTGCTACATTACTGCACTGTCATCTCTTGGAACATTAGATCTTGGAAAATATGTAGGAATTTAAGAAATGCATCTGGGAAGAACACATTTGCATTTTCCAAGGGAGCTGTGGGAGGCGCCTGCTTGCAGGGCTGTTTTGAAGTTCTCCTGCTTGAAATGAATGACATTAGTTAGCGATGAGATAATAGGACAAGTATTTCCCAGAGCAGTTGTGAGCCTGGAGTTGCACTTGTGGGCTCTCCCAAGCTGTGACATGCTCACCTCGGGTCAAGCAGAAGCTGCAGCCACGTCCTGCCTCGCAAAGCACGGGCACTTGGCACGGGAGGGTGAAGCCTCCCCTCGTGCCTGGTGGGTCCCTGCTCAGCATCCCCAGTGGAGGTGGCTGGGGACCACAGGGTGATGGGTTGGTCTGGTGGTGAGGAGGTGTGGTTTGGCAGCCCTGCCTCTCTTGAGCACACTCCAGCTCGAAAAGCATGCTGTCCCTCTCAGAGAGACCACTAAGTGCATATGCCCCGTGGCTGCGGAAGAGAAAAAGTGGGATTCTAACTCTAGGATCTTGTGGTTTATGAGGTCAGCCTGTAAGGATAGATTCAAGAGTAATGCTAATCAACACAAGTGCTTCAGTCACAGCAGCTCTCCAGAGAAAGAGCTTATCAACCATAAAATCACATTAAAACCTATGTATATAAAAATATTTATTTCTCAAAGCCAACTCTGAAATCTCAATTTGTAGCTTCTTATCTTGTTGCCACCATCTTGATACCCCTCTGAGAGGTTGGCTCACCAGTATAATCCCACTTGCTGTACTGGAAAATGTGTTTTCTGCCCATGCAGCCCTCCTGGGATAAGCTTTAGATGTGATGTTTTGTCACAGAGGTGTGGGTGCCAAATACTTTGTTCTTTCATAAATGTTACAATGCATACTAAAGGTTAATATAGTCAAAGCTCTGAACTCTCTGCTCCCCAAGGTTAAATGAAAAACCACCCTGCCTCTAAATCAGTAAAACAATATTGATGTCACTTGAAATGTGTGTGCAATGTGAATGGGGCTAAGCTACTTTGTAATGCTGTATGAATTTTTTTACCTTAGTGGGGCTCATTTTGTAATTGCATGATGACTATGCTCATAAAATGGGTATTTGTGGAAAATATTTGATGCTAGACTTCTGCTTCCCAAACAAGCAAAATATGGTTGCTTCCTTGATGAATGCTAAGCAGACCTTTATAAAATTACTGTCTGTCTCTTAATTTGCTTGTTTGAGCTGCAGCCCTTGGATAATTTAGTGGGTTTTTTTCAGTAAATTAACCTTTTAGAAAACATATTTCTCCAGTTTATCATGCCAAAATTCAACAGAGTTCTTCTTACATAAAACCAATGCAATGAGTGGAGGATCAAACCTGCTGCCTTAACAAGTCAAAGAAATAACATAAGTAAGTATAAAATACATCATTGTTTGTTTGGTTCATAGGATCACAACGAGCCTCTTCCCTTGCTGCATCAAGACTGGAGCAGGCCATGTCTGAAATAACTATGCAGAGCAGCACAATGAAGCAGGGACCTGTGAAGCTGTGGACAACTCTTGAACAAATTTGGCTACAAGCTGGTAAGTCCTGAGCTACCTGGAGTTCCTTTTTCCCTCCAGTGATGAATCAAATGACATAAATATTAACAGATTGCTATTGCTATTAACAGAGTAGTTGAAGTCATGAATTGAAAATCATTCTATTCCAGCAGAAAATCTGCCTATCTATCCCAGATGGTTTTTGAAACACTGCTTATTTAATTTTGACCCCCAAAAAATACTGTAGTAGTGTGATTTCTTAGCTCATTTCTGTTTTTCCAAAACATACAGAAAACTTTAGTCATCACTATAATACGCTTTTTAAAAACGAGGGTGGGTAGTTCTTCATTAGCAAATGGTGGTTCATAAGGACAATTATTTCTATTCTCCCTTTACTAAATGCTTCCCTTTAATAAGGCTGGGCAAACCATGTCTTAAATGTGATTTAAACATTCCAATCTTTGCTGAGGTTTAAGTGGAAATTATTAGAAAGAGCACGTTCTCCACTCTGTCCTTGACTGTTTGAACCTCCCAGGGTCTTGTAGGTTGAGTACCAGTTTGAGACACTAATGCAAAGATGCTGCAGCAGAGCACATAAGGGGAAGACAGTGAGGAGAGACTCTAGCCACAAGTGATCTCCAAACCCATGGGGGGGTGTTATGTAGGACATTTTTTGAGGAGCAGAGTTGCCCAGCACATTCTGCTGTTTGCATTCCAGTGTTTCAGAACTGAGAGAATTCCAACCCTGTAATTTTGTTTTTAGGAGACAACAGTTTTTCTTCTATAACTGGGCCCACAGTTGCACAGTTAAAACTACCTTTGAGTGCTATGATTGCTTATTAGATGTCTCACCATTTGCAATGCAGAAAGAAAAGCAGAACCCCCTGGAAAGCTGCTGATAGTTTCCTATTCTTCGTGCAGGGGAACATTTCAAATTCACATTTTGCTAATCTATGCCATTGACAGTTCTCATGTAAGACCTGGCAGTCTCACCCTGCAAAGATTTTCATAGCTGTTTGTGTGGGTAATTTTCTACCAATTAGACTTGAGTTCTAGAACAAAATATATGACATTGTTTTTGCTACAATTTGATTAATATTAACAAAAGAAGTCACCTTATAGAATGAATCATCCTTTAAGTTAATCACGTATTCTCCTTAATGACTTGTGTGGATGTGAATTTCAGTGATGTGCTGTGGGCTTCAAAATCACCAGCAAGATTGTGCTTTATTCAGTTTATACTCCTGATTTAAGGCTGCACAGAGGGCTGGTGGGGAGCAAAATAAATGGAGTTTATTACGATGAGAAGTCAGGTGTCTGTTGTCCATCATCCTACAGCTAGCTCTAGGCAGTTTACATTTTTGCTGCTGTCTGAAAAGGCAAAAGCAATAAAGACCTAGTGCTTGCTGTGAATTGCTATGATTGCTTTTCAGTGTGAGTAGAGTGAAAGGCATTTCTGAAAGGTGTTAATCAATTCTTTTAGATAGAATTTATTTTTATAAGCTGTAACTTTTCTCTCTTATCACTTTGTAAGCCTTTGTTATGCTTCATGCTTAGTTTTAGCTGGACTTGATTCAGGATTGATACTTTGAAAACATGTACTGTGGCTGCTTTGTAATTTCATTACTGAAGTCAGTTATTGTTATGGATGCAGCTTAATGAGCTCCTGCTGAGGTACTGGCCATTCTCTTCTCACAGTAGTGTGGAAGCTGCTGGATTCTGGTATCCTGAGGGATGAAGAGAGGTGCAGGTATTTGGGGTAGTCTTTACTCTCTGTGGAGAAGGCCACAGTACCTGAATAATTAGAAGACTTCTTGGAAGTGGGTTGGCCTTACACTGAGATTAGTGAATGGAATGATCCAAAGGGTTTCACTGACCTTCACTGATCTTTCCCATCTGAAAGGAGGGGAAAGGAGGAGCGAGTATACTTGTAAGAAGTAACTTCCAAAACAGAGATATTTCATAGACAACAAATTAAACAGGTCTGCATGGTTAGAGGAAGTTGAGGTAGTCAGGTGGTTTTACATTACAGCTCACCCCAAAATTAATGGCAGTGGAAAGCAACAGGCAGTTAGTGTAGCATTCTGATGCCTGCCTATGGACTCACTTGATACTCATGGAACATCTGCATCAGTATGCTGTAGATTTTCATCAGGTTTAGCTTGGACTTGTCCTTTTTCAATCAGTGACTCATCTTGTGACTCCAGGCAAGTTGCCTAACTTTTTCATACCTCAGTGTCCTATCTCCAAAGGGGAAAAATGTTGATCTGCCTTTGGGAAATGACTCTTGTGTTGTTGTTTTTGTTGTTATTAACACTTTGACCTTTTTAGCATGACTCATAAATCCTTAGATAAAGTTATTACAATTTCCTAACCTCATACTACAGTAAATTTATAACAAAGCATCTGTCCTTCTCAGACACTCACAGGACACAGCTGGCCATGTGTCCCAAGACACCATGTCTCTGTGCCAGGTAGCAGTCATGTCTGGATGCCATTAGAGCCAGTGCAGTTACCTTGCCTTCTCATATCCCAGAGCATGAAAGGGAATGGTACTGACCAGCTGGTCCAGTTAGAACTTTGTGCAGTGGGATTTGGAAGAGGCACACAAAACCAGCTATCCCACAGCTGTATGGGGCAGCACTTACAGCCCTCCAGCAGCCAGGCCAGGCCACAAAGCTAGCACATACACTTTCAAAAGGGACTCTTAGGGGCTGGTACCTATCCAGTGATGCTTACGTAGGGGAATCCTTAGTGTGTCATCCTCCAGCTGCAGTAAGAGTTCCTGCCTTGTACAGAAGTGTCCTCAGTCCCTTCAAGCTGGAGATCCTCTTGTTCTCTAACAGGTTTCACAATTACCTTCTGAAAATATGCGTGTTCCTTTAACAGTGGCTGAAGGGAAGGCTGTGAACCCTGTGCAAATAGTTAATTCCTTTTGTGCTGTGATAAAGATATTTATTTCACCCATAAGAGATCATATACTTAGTGGTTTTATCTGTAACTTTTCTGGGTTTGTAACCAGCATAGTTTTGTAGGGAAGACAATAAAGCACCATCTTTGGACGTGCAGCTGTTAAATTGAAATGTGTTGCACTGTGACACATGCTGTACCTTGTCTTTCCCTGCAGCAATGCCTAGTGATCTCTGGCAAGCTAATTTTTTGTAGCCTCCTGTAAACAAAGAACTGCTTGATGGATCTGTGGTTTCTACAAAGAGTCTTTTTCTCTTTCAGGCATCAAAATAAAACTCTGAATTCTCACTGTTAATCGTATGTCCAGCTATCCCTTACAGGACCACCTTGGGAGTACAGTCACAGCATGGAATTTGGCATATTGCCTTAGTGGGCTTCCATATCTTCATGTTTTCTGCACAGGTAGTCACAGCTTTGGAAAAGTAGTGTGCTGTCCTCAAAGACTAGACATCTCCTGCAGCAGGCATGCTTGGAATACTAACAGGCAAATTCTATTTCTAAGTGTTCTGCAGCAGAGATTGTTAACCCAGCTTGTCTAGTCCCTTTTAACAACACCCCCCCCCCCCCCCCCAGTCCTCTTGAATATAATGGCTTCTTAAAAAGAATCATCTCGGAACACTTTAACATTTATGAGCCTAAACATTATTCTTGGCCCCATGTCTGAGAAACAGCTCATTTCAGGGAGTACTTAGGAACACTGCTACAGTGCACATGCTGTGGTGGTGCAGCTCCAGGAGAGGTTCATTGTGCAATCCTTATGCTCATTTCTCCTCTTTGTTCTACTTTTCATGGATGAGAGCTTGAATTCAGGTTTGAGAAGAGGCAAGAAACTTCGGTGGCACTGGTACAGTTTGTTAACTCCTCCCTCTTCCTGCAGGAAGAGCTGTAATCTCTAATCCTAGAGATTACTAGTGCTAGTACTTTTAACAGTCATGCCAGTATGCCTCCTTTTTGTTTAGAAAATAGAGTCATGGTGTTTGACTAAAGAAAATACACTTGAAATCGTGCAAATTTATGACCAAAATTTACCTTCATTTGGTATCTTTATAAGATCACTTTTGACCCAGAGAGCAAAGCATGTCAGTATTGGAAAGAAATTGTGTTAATTTTGTGTTAGGCTCTTTGGGTAACCGGAATGATTTTTTTATCTGAAGTATGTGTAATTATATTTCCAGGAAGTAATAACCATATGCTGTATTTATACAGAGCATTTTAGAATGCTACAAGCCAGTTTTAATAAGAGTTCTAATATTCTAGCTCCTGTTACTGTATTATTTTAAGCTTTGCTTTTAACTACAAGGTCCACTTTGTTTGTCTTTACTAGTAGTTTATATCTGACAATTTAGCTTCTTGACTAACCCAATACTTTACCAAATATGGCCACTCACAGCAAAGTAGGTCTGGTAATTTGATCTAAATTTGGCTAAATGCCTGCTAAGCTCAGCCTGTGAACCTCACCAGGTAGACCCCAAGGCTAATTTAAAGGAGGATTTAGAGCAAAATGAGAGGATACTATTCCATGTACTCCCAGTGGGGCTGGAGTGAGCTACCTGCTGTCTCAGTAACATGCTAAAGTTTAACCTAGGCAAAATAGTTTATACTGAACATGCTGCAAACAAGAAAAGCAAAGAGAGCCAGTGCAGCAGAGAACAGTGAGCTAATGGAAAAACATCTGCTCCTCTGAGTTATGTGCAACAGGAACTTTTTTTTCCCCTTTCACAAAACACTTGTGATTTATTTATTTTATTCCATATGGGCCAGTTCCTGGGAAAAAGCTGTGTTAGAGAAGATGGGCTTTGTTCCACAAGAAGTCTCCAATGTGCTGGTCTGCAGCCATGGAGCCGGATCCTGGCAGCAGCCAAGGGTGCAGCCAGGCCCTCCCCTGCTGCCCCTCTGCTCACCCAGCCCAGATTGTGTTTGCACAGCCTGCACATGGACACTTCAGTATTTTTCCTTCTCCAAGCCTTTAGCAGTCCTAAGCCCAAACAAGTTATTAGCTCTGATATTAAAGGTGTTAATCAGGTGTGGGAGACATCTTTATTGATATTGCCAGAATAGCTGGGTCACATACT